AAAATAGGGGTGTGGTGCACGATAGGGGTGTACATGGACCGGGTTGGTTCGCATTTTATCAAAACCAAACCAAACCATTATATCGGTTTGGATTGGTTCGGTTGTCGGATTTTTCAGGTTTATTTTGTTACATGAATATTATTTCAATCTTGCATTATTAAAGTTATAGATAAAATTTTGATAAGTGAATATATGTTTACTAAAAAAATAAAAAATAAAAACAAACATATGATCTATTAAAGTGATCTTACGGGAGAATTGTTTTTAGTAACACATAATAGTTTATTTTCTTAGTCGTCTACCAATAATTTTTGGTTGATGCAGGGTTAACCAAATTTAATAATTAAATATAATACCTAAATAATGATATGTTCTATGTAATTTTAGATTATCCAAAATACCACTTCAAATTCGAAAAAATGTAATAAATCTTGACATATGAATATGAAAGAACAAAGAGATGATTAACGCATTTCAATAACACATAATAAGAAAGTGATACAATCTATTAATTAAAGTAAATAAAAATGAATGCACTTTATAGTTCTATTAAATATTATATCCCATGAGAGGATCTCAAATATTTCTAGAGATCTTTTAAATAAAATTCTATATAAAGTCTTAAAATTATATATTTATATATCGGTTTGGTTCGCGTTTTTTTACTCAATACCAAACCTAGTCGGGTCTTTTAATCGGGTTGGTTTGACTTTTCGGTTTGGTGCGGTTTTCCGGTTCGGTTTGTACACCCACTGCACGATATCAATATGGTCATTAACTTTAGAAGTTCTTTTATTGAAATTTTAAGGGTTGAGTGTGGTTGTATTCTGAAATTTGATTTCCAGCAAGATAAGATTTTCACATGCATTAAGTTAAAATACATTTTTAGTTGAATCATTCACAAACTGAACAAAAGTTGTTTTTAGTTAATGGAAAATGGATAACACTTAGCAGTATAAAGCTTTTAACGAAGCATAGATATACACTATCTTTTAACTTATCAATAGAACTTTTCTACCCCAACGAAGAATGTTTTAAGAGAGAGAATGAGCGTGGTCCAAATAGGAACATGGTTTCCTGTGGAAGCAGGACAAATTTTTGGTGGAAATTATGTCTTATAGGATGGAGCCTACTGTTTTTCGAAGCAAAATTAAAGTTATAGTGTAATCGTATTAATTTCTTTCTGTCAAAGTGGAGCAGAGTTTAAACCTTGCCAAGAACCTTCCGTTCTTCTTATCAGTGGCTGATTCAGAGTGTATAGAGAGTAATATACGGGTTCATGAAAATCCATTAGCTTTTGCACAAGCTTTGTATACGTATTAAAAAATTTACTAAATAATTATTACTATTGAAAATAACTTTTCTACCTTCACACGATAAGGATAAGGTCTGCGTACACAATATCCTCCTCAGACCTATTAGGTATGTTATTAATTATTACTATTTGATTGTAAATTCAGTTATTATTGTTAACTTGAAATAGCCGTAGAAATTTATGAATTTCAAATCTTGAATCATTCATCTGCCTCTTACTTCCTCTACTCCCATTGTGGACCTAACACTAACAAAAGTATTCTTATTTTGAAAAGAAAATAATAATTTGAAAACTATACTCCTATTTGTTGAAGCACTGCATCATTCGTTCAAGTGGATGAAATCTGCAATTTAGAAAGAATGACACGAACTACAAGGCCAACTGGGTAGTCACGGGTGTGTTTTCTGTACCTATTGGTCGGTCTTGTGATCCCCAAAATTGATAAAATACCAGCCCACTAACACAACAAACTTTCAAGAAAATGTCTAGACAAAAGTTCTGCGAAGTAATTTGAGCCAGAATCTCTCTGCTTTAAATTATTTGATACCTTTATTCCAGGCTAGCATTAGTTCACATGTCTGCATGCATGCCAAATTCTAGGGTTCATATGCCTCCGCGAATTTGCCTATAAATACGCACTTCATTTTCTCTACGCTAAACCTAAAAAATAGTACTCATACAAAACATAAATCCTCTGTTTCGTTATGGATTCAAAGAGATACTTAGTTACTCTCTTTTTATTTTTTAACATTCTTTTCTTTACCCTTGTAAGTGGCTGCTGGAGTGGCTGCAATAATCCACCAACTCCAAAACCAAATCCGAACCCGAACCCAAATCCTAACCCTAGCCCATCAAAGGGACACTGCCCAAGAGATGCCCTAAAACTAGGTGTCTGTGCCAAGGTGCTGAACGGACCCGTCGGAGCCGTCATCGGAACCCCACCGGGCATGCCTTGTTGTTCCGTACTAGGTGGACTTTTGGATCTTGAAGCTGCAGTTTGCCTTTGCACTGCACTGAAAGCCAACATTCTTGGAATCAACATTGATATTCCCATTGCACTAAGCTTGCTTATTAATACTTGTGGGAAAAGTCTACCATCTGACTTCACTTGTGCCTAAGCTATAATGCTTCTCTTTTGAGTCGCCACGAATAAGTTTTAGTGACAGGACTATTCTTAACGACCATTTGGTTTTGCACGAAAAATATTTTGTGATGACTTCTTCATTTTCTGTGGTGATTAAAGTCCCATTGCTTGTATGTTTGATGAATTATTTCCCTTTGTTGTTTTAGCATTAGAGGAATTTGTTTTTCTATTTTAGTTTGTTGAAGTTCATGTTCTATTTTAGTTCTTTGTTGTTAGGACTTAGGAATGAGCACTTGATAATTCGTACGAAGGGATTGTTCTTCCATCTCCTTTGTAATTCACTAGTGCTTCCTTTATTGACTTGATGAATTTCTGATTCACAAGTGGCTTCTAAGTTCTTTAATTTGTGTATCTTTTCTTGCTGCTATTTTCAATGGGTTGGGAGAACAAGTAGATTAGGGCACGATAATTGATATCCTAGGAGTTACTCTCTCCGTTTCATTTTGCTTGTTCTAATAAATATTCCTGTGGATATAAATTTTTTTGAAATTTATGGTATTAAACATGTCATATATGGCATTTATGTGATTATAAAAATTTCTTATTAAAATATGTTATTTTTTAAGCGAATTAATAAAAAATAGTGCCCAAACTCCACAGAACAGACTACTGTTCATTGAATGGTCTAATTAGTTTCCGGGTGCATGATGCCTACAAAGAAGAAATCGTCTTTATTCCTTCTATCCCAACATAGACTCTTTTGCTTCACAAGATTTAATCTAAGTGAGTAATTTTAAATGACATTTAGGGATCCTTTGGTACGCGGACTAAGTTATCCCGGGATAATAATCCCAGGATTATAATTCCTGGACTAATTTATTCCACCTGGGAGGTGGGATAAAATAATCCCAAGTTTGATGGGATAAGGTGGGATATCCAATATTAAGTCTGAGATTAAATTTATATCATGTTTGGTTGATAGTATAAATTTATCTCAGGATATATTTATACCATCAACCAAACGTGGTATAAATTTAATCTCTTACCTTATCCCACCTTATCCTGTGTACCAAACGGCCCCTTAGGGTGTGTTTGGTATGAAGAAAAATATTTTCCGGAAAATATTTTTCAATTTTCCCATGTTTGATTAGCTTTAAAGGTTTTGAAAAATATTTTTCTCATGAACTCATTTTCCCTCAATTGGAGGAAAATATTTTCCAAAACTCTTTTTCAACCTTCTCCACGCTTTTCTACATCCTCACCAACCCATCCCCGCACTACCCCTACCCACCACATCACACTCACCCTAAATAAAACTATTATTAAGAGTACTTCTCTTTTCATGTTATAGATAGAGTTTTGTTTTTCAACAAAATGATACTTAGTATTTTCTTTCATTTAACAAAACGAGTACTCTTTTTTTTCATGATGTTGAAAAAGTATTTTCTTTCATTTCAACAAAACGAGTACTTTCTTTTCATGAGGTAAAAAAGTAGTTTCTTTCATTTCAACAAACTAAGTATTTTCTTTTCCTGCAATAGAATAAACATTTTTTTCAACAAAACGGGTACTTTTTTTTTCATGATGTAGAAAAAATATTTTCTTTCATTTTAACAAAGCGAATACTTTCTTTTCATGATATAGAAAAAGTATTTTCTTTTCATGATGTAGAAAAAGTGTTTTATTTCATTTAACAAAACGAGCAATTTCTTTTCATGTTGCAGAAATGATATTTTCTTTTTCAACAAAATAAAGTATTCTTTTTAGTTATCGAATTCAAATTTCGACGTTGTTCTTGTGTAAAAAAAGTAAAACATTAGTTCCTTTGGGCTATGTGAATTTTGAAAGGAATAAATAAATTCTTGAGGGGGAGGAGTATAGAAACATGAGAATTTTGGAAAAGGTGGGTTGAGGAAAGTAGCATAAAAAAATATTTTCCTAAAAATATTTGTACTCTCTAACCAAACATTAGAAAATATTTTCCGAAAAAAGTTTCCACTCACTAATCAAACAAGAAAAAATAAGTGATAAAAATATTCATTTTCCAAGAAAATATTTTCTCCATGAAAAGCATTTTCCTTCGTACCAAACACCCCTTAAAGGTGCTCTTTTTGCAACTTTTTATGAATGAAATTTACATCTAATACTTTTTGTCTACCTTTCTAATATCTAGCTTTTAATATAAAACTTAAATTGCTTAGTCCATTTTAGTATGGAATAATGATCAAAATGACCCAAATGAAAAGTACTACCTCCAATCCTTATGTCAGTGAGAAAATTGTTTTAAATATTTGTTATTTTAGAAAATCAAGACGATATTAACTTTTTTCTCCATGCAATTTTACTCTTTCTATACCAAGAAGGCATACTGTCATTAATTACTTATTTAAGGAAAATATAAGGGTAATTTAATCATATGTCATAATTTTGGACCTAAAATACAAGCAAGAATTGAATTTTAATTCCGGTAAGTGTCATTTCATGAGAACTGTATTTGTGGATCTTCATGGTTTTTAAGAGGAGAAAAAGTTAAGAGAGGAGAACCTGTCTCTCATTTCTCTTTCATAAATTAATTTTTGGGGAGAGAAAGAAGGGAGAAGAAGAAAAACAGAGGAACAGAGTCATCAAATAAAAAAAGTTAAGCTTGGTCTAAAAAGTCACTGGAATTTGGAGAATAGAACTTAGAGTGTTAACAAAATATATATTCCTTTAAAGAGTATTAGTGTTAAATAATGTCCATTTCTTTTTCTTTATACAAGAAAAACAAAAAAATATATAAAGAGAAAAGAAAAGAAAAAAAAAAGAAGTTAAATAGGAGTAAAGAAGTTAAAAAAAAAAAAAAAA